TCAGATCGGGTTAAGCCAATTATCCACAGGACGATGGGGGAAAACGGAACATAAGAAGAAACCTGCTGCGCGGTATCGATAAGGATAAACCCGGAGAGGGTCTAACCGTGTGACCATTTCAAGATCAGATTTGGCGAGATCACGATCACAATACTCAGATCTTTTCTCGAAGGCGGATGCATTGTTTTGAGCCTTTTCGATTAGTCTGGTCATTTCTTCGTACGCTGCAGGTTTGTCGTTTCTAAGGAAATGAACACGAGCTAGGCCTTGGTGCGCGCGTGTGTGCCTCACCTTGAGAGCGTTGATATAACAATCCGCAGCTAAGTCTAGCTTCTCGCAATCGACGTAGACACTCCCGAGATTGTTCAGAGCCTAAAACAAAAGAAGAAACAAATAGCATTGTCATAGACTTAATTAGATGCATCTAATCGCCTGAGCATAAACACCGAACCAAATCGACTCAAGCCAAAACTCTTCAACACAATTGGCCAACACTGAATAGACCGAACTGAAACCGAACTTAGTGCAACCAAACCCAATAAACCCAAATTCAATTTCATAACTTTATTATATGAAAAGTAGTTTTTTTTTTTCCTCTCACTGACTATATAAATAGATGTACTGATGGAGAATGACCGTACCTGACCTTTGCGCAACCTATCAGAGGGGCATTTAAGAGCATCTTCAAGAAGTGAAACAACAGTCGAAGAACTCGATGGATCGAGGCTAGATTCCGCTAAGGCATAAGCTTGGAGAAAATATGCTTCAAAAGATCTCTTTATTCTAATAGATTCTTTAGCCTTTTGAAGCCCTTCTTCACAGTGACCTGTATCGTACAAGATCCATCCTTCGTAAACCAGGCGCTCATGGTCAGTTGAGGCATGCTCTCGGGCTAACTGTAAACTACGCATCGCTGCTTCAGGACAATTCAACCTGGTCAATACAAAGATATGAGAATGAGATGCTCATTTAAGGATGTTAAATTACGACCAAACCGTTTGGAAACAGAACTGAAATTATATATTTGATTGGAAACCGCATTCTCTAACCGAAACATATAAAAATCAATGCAAAACTTGTGTTTTCTAAATTTAATTATATATACATGATTATAAACCGAACTATAATCGAAACCGTACCAAACCGATTTTACTTTAGCTACAACATTTCAAAAACTGAAAAAAAAAACCTGAAAAGAACCGAATTAAATACCACTACAGCTTGTTAACCAAATGAGAGTGCTGAATTAACGAGTTTTACCTTAGGAGAAGCAAAGATTGCCTGAAGTAAAGTACACCTTTGGAAGCATCGGATTCGAGCATCTGATAAATTACTGAAAGAGAACCTATATCATCAACATTCGACCATTTCTCATATAGCTGCATCCAACAATCAGCAGTTGTCCAATTCTCCACATGCTCATACACAAGGGTCCGTAGCTGCCTCGCTGCTACTTTCCCACAGAACATCCGATAATCCGGGCACAGAGTGAGAACAGCCTGGATATCGCGAAGAGCCGCTTCGTAGTCATCCATACCGAGATAAAGACAAAACCGGATTTCCAAGCATTCTAACGCGAGTTTAAACCCGAGTATTCGGTTGATTTCTTCGAGCGCAGCCTCGGCATTTTGTTTCGACATTAGAGTAACAGCTCTATACATGTAAGGATATGTCAAAGTCGGGTCCAACTCAGTTGATTTCCCGAGATCTTCCCATTTCTTCTCACCCTCACAATACAAAGACCTTTCTTGATACATCCATCCAAGCGGCGGAGAGACAGAGGAGATAACCGAGCTAAGCTTCTCGTAAGCCCAAAGCCGATGTCCTTGGATGTAACCTAGTCTTGCTAAACCAGTAGCCGAGTACACATGCCCTAGATTAAAGGCAGTCTTGAAAGCTTCTTCAGCCTCGCGGTACTCTTTCCTTAATAGCCTCGTACACCCTAGCCTATGAAACCCCAATACTCTATGTCGGTCATATTCCGCAGAGTCAACTAATTTCTCCAAGAAACCCAGTGTTCTGTCAGACCGAGGATCTATACGCATTGAGACTTCGCTTAACGAAGAGTATAAAGAGAATGAAGCTTTTCCTGCCATGGTTGAGACCTGAGCTTTATTCACCCGAGTCAAAACCTCGACAACACGCTCATCTGTCAAACTATCGGGTAACTCATAAAGAAAAACTTGCAGACACGATGCAGCTAGGATTGGGGAGTTCTCTTCGAGTGCAAAGTCCATAAGCTCAATGGCACATTCCATAGAAGAAATCAAAGAAGCCAATTCTCTGTCGCAAGCATCTTTAAGAGTCTCGCAGCAAAACTTGTTTGCAAAAACTAAAACTTCCAATAAAAGATTCCTCGAAACTCCCATTAATACACCTGCAACACTGAAATCTCTGACAACCCGCATAGCGGATGACGATACATGATTTTCCGACATATCTATCTCATCAAGAAGTGATTCCGTGAAATTCCCATAAAGCATGGCGTGAAACGGAGCCGAAAGCCTAGCGATTTTCTTCCTGTCACAAGCTATTCTCTCTTCTCCTATCTTAAACACAACATTTTTCGATATACAACGCTTCGTCTTCACAGATGCTGCCTCAGGGGAAGAAGCGGGCATAACTGGGAAATAAGACGCAATATCCAACGGCACAAACTCTTCCGAATATTTACCACAAGACGAAAGCAAATCGGTGATAACTTCTTCTCCTTGTTTCTCATACCTCAACCAAGATCCAAACACAACTTTCTCATGGACAGTTGTAGCCTCTTGCCAAGCTGATTGAAGACTTCTCCGTCTAAGTTTAGTCTCTCCAAGACCTCTAAACACTTGATACTGCAATAAATACAGAACCGATCTCTCCTCCAAAGAACAAGTCTCGAGTTCTTCGTGAATTTGAGCAAGAACTTCTACATAGTCAAGAGGTTTATAATGCGGCTCTATTTGCGGCTCAGGAACTTTGATAAATGATTCTCTACACAGTGGACTACACAAAAAGACCAAAGGTTAACTAACTTCATAACCAAACATCTCAAGCTCAATATAACCAATTAGAACAAGCAGGAATATAAACTTACGCAGATGAAGAAGCAGAGGAAGATAGTTTCCCTCTCTCAACTTGAAGCCATGACTGTGGATTCAATGAATTGAGCTGTGATTCTTTATAAGAATCAGATGGGTAAAAACTCCTCATCTGACATAACAGATGAAACAAATCCCAGATCTCCAGGATCGCCAGAGGATAATCAACACACTGTTTTGTCTTCTCGATTTCACAGTAACACACCAAAAATGAAGAAGATGGGTTAACACTTAAATGGATTTCTATACAATAAAAATTCGAACTTTGTGTTACGAGATCTTCCAACAACACCTAAAGCTAAAGCATTTCTCTATGAAATAAATCATTTATGTGCAGAAGATAGAACAAACCTAAAAACATAAAATGGGAACCACAAAACTCACTCGAAATAACCAAAATTACAGCTTTCTCGAGAAACCCCTAATCTAGTAGTAGCTCAAGAAAATCGGAGCTAAACCCAGAAAAGTCAAAGAGAAACCAACAAATCTAGAGACATGAAAAAGTAAGAAACTTTAAACCAGTGAGACGATAAGAGCGTGAGAAAGAGACGCTTTTGCAAACCCTAGACAGAGAGAGAGAGGTAGGGGAAGTCGCAATTTTGAAGAATTGAGAATTAAGGGAGAGATCGAAGTGAAAGAGAGTGGGAAAGAGTTTCCAAATTGACACTTTTTTTTCTTTCAATTCTCTGAGATGTTTTGTTTCATTGGTAAAAGGGAAAGTTTTTTCTTCATATTCTCACTTCTCTTTTTGCTTTTGTTTGAGTGAACATCTTTCACACAAACAACAGTAACCACCACTATTGCTTCTCCGGCCGCTCTTCTTTTTCCAAGAGATGGTGATTTTACTTAAATACTTTAACCCAATACTTTATATAAATTATAAATTTAATTAACCATTTTAAAAATATTTTTCTACTACAAAATGTTTATAAATGCGGTTTGCAAAAAGAAAAAACTCATATTTTTGGTCCAGTTATAGGTCATTTTTATATTACTTCAAATATCTAAATATAAATATTTCCAAACAAATATTTTTATTTTTTCATCAACAAAACACAAAAACCAAATCATTAGTCTTTTATGTTAATGATGTCACTGAATAATCAGAAAATATTACAATTTTAAATTAAAAATATATTTTACGTAATGGTGATAAAATAACATTATTAATACGACCACTAAAATTTTAATTAGAATCGTGGCAAAATGATACTATTATTAACACAAATCATTAAACGTCATGTTATTAATATAAAATTGTATTTAAGATTATAATTTTATGAGTTAACTAGCCCAATATATGGTTTTAACTATATACTAAAAAAGATGTAAAGCAATAACCAATCAATTAAAAGTAAAACACTTTATCCGAAAATTTGCCATTTTGAAAAAAAAATCGAGTATAACCAAATTTTTA